AGATGATAACCATATACAATATTAGTTCTTTTAAATGTCGCTTTCAATCATATATGGATTATGACCACACATACGAATCACTAAAATTAAGCAATGTCAAGACTGGTCAGTACCTAGATGGGTAACTGTTCTGAATACAAAGTGCTATAAACTTGGATAATGGCTTAGACATTGTTTATCAGAGAGCAGAGTTCCAATTTCTGTTAGGTTTGATATATTCACTTTCATGCAAATACCTTTGGGGAAAGCTATGAATACAACTTTTCTCCTCCTATCTATTGGTTAAACAGTAAGACTTGTGTTTGCATTGCAGTTCAGACTAGACAACAGGTTTGTTGACAGGGTGCATTCAAATGCTTGTGGCTTAAAAATTACCCTTTGGCAGATCATTTACCCATGAATGAAAAACAAGATAATTTCTAGTAGTAAACCAGGTCTTATAAGCAAGTGAAGGTGCGTTGAAGCTTGTGGAGGGTAGGTGCAGTCAGCGCCATCTCTTCGTCTTTTTTTCTGCAAAATCCTTGGTCATTATTTGTTTTCCTTTTTCTGCAGGATGGCCATTTTATATACTATAAAGTTTTCTTTTCTCCTGTCATCTTATTATCAAAAAAAATTAATTCTTCCATTACTTTCTCTCAGTCTGCAAACATAAAAATTTGATGTTGACTCCAGTTACTGATAGCCATCAGTTGAAAAGTAAATGTTCTGTGTTTTAAATTTAACTCTTATCACTAAAACCATTATCAAAAAGAAATTCTTACAATTTAAATATATTTTCTGGCTTTTAAATGACCTTGCAAATCTTTTTGTAAGATGTAAAAGATAAATTAATCATATATGACAGTGTTCCAGGCCATGGCCTGGTCATGGCCTCCAAATATGACGTTGTTCAGGGTCCAGTCTGCTTTGGTCACCAGGTATGTCCAGGTTTCTCAAGGTCAGTTCAGCCTGTTTGCTTGGTCAGGGATTGATCCTGGTATCAGAGAACAAGCCAGCCCACTGATAAGTCGTTGATGGTGTTTGGCACAGCAGCTGGTCTCTAAAATGACCTCTTCAACTGTGACCTCTCTTAAATCAGTTGTGATTTTGATCTTAAGAGAGTCAAGCCAAATTTCCACTGGGGCAACTCAACCATGCTAAAACCAAGGAGTTGGAACATTTGCATAGAAAATTGTAAAAAATAAAATGGATGACACCCAAATAAGTCACAATATGATGTTTATATTAGAATAATAGAAAAAATTTACAGTTCTTTTTTTCTTCTTTGTTCTTTTTTTTTTCTTTTCCCTTACTCGTTCTAATAACTGGCAATGGAACAAAAATTGTGGGTTGCTTTTTAAAGAGTGGCCAGATTCTTTAAAGAGTGGCCAGACTGGACAACTGGATTTATCTTCATAGTCTGATTTGTACTTTCCAGTACAACACAAGGATTTCTTCAGTGACAACTGTATTTAACTTCAAGTACTATTAATTCATATTTTCAATAAGGTTTATTCGAGTTTTTTTTCTTCAGCAGATTATTATTATTATTATTATTATCATTAAATGAAATGGCAGGTATAAATGCAAAACCTTGTCATAAAACAAGTGGACAGCATCAACAATTACTGCATATCATTTACTGTACGTCCAGCAGGCTGCCTACATATATCCCACTAAAACTTACTTTTGGAAAACATAGCATATTAACACAGAAATTCATATAAAATAATAAAATAGCAATACAAATTTAGTACTCTATTAATAGCGCAGCACACATTGTGTCCACCAGCAGATACACTAAGTGTAAACACTGACCAAAACACCATTTAACTCAAGCAGCCATTCAGACATACTAGGTTTGGTATGCATGTCATCTATGCAATTTCATGATAGTCATGATGATATTTTATAGATGATGATGTTGATTTTAATGTGTGTCGTTGGTTGTTTGCTATACAACACATATAGAAAGATATTATAGTTAGTGTCTCAATATACAGGTTGACCTTATGTAGATTTAGCACAGGTTATCGTACTGTAAACTCTTTTTTACTGGTAGGCCTAAGTTTTCAGATATACGATTGATTTATCTTTTATAGCTTATCAACTTTTTGCACTGGTCGCCTACAGTATGTTTGGGGGTCAAAATCTTGAGTTTGACTTGTATTCCGCAATTTATGGTAAGATATTTAAGAGTGATATAGCAAAATCAGAAAGTTAACAATCTATGTAATAAATGCGAATATCAGTGTGTCACGCTTTTCCAACTTTACTCCTAGAGTCCATAGCCGAAAATATAACATTTTGGAATCAGGCCAACTCCATGAGCAAATTAAAAACATTCCAGGCTGGATCTGGATCTGCAATCCTAACATTTTGAATTCCCAAGTTTTCATTACCGTGAATGTTTTCAGTGATTTCTTTTACATGATTTTTTGCAATAAAATTTTTTTGTTTGATAACAGTTTTTATAACTGGGAAATAATTTTGGGAATAATTGAAATTAATTGCAAAATCCATTAAAATTCACCAATGAAATAAAAATAATTGTTTGTATGGAAAGTAATGACCCATGTACATCAAATTGTTTTTTTAAATTAAGTGGCAGCAGAAAAATTAATTGTTGAACTTTTTAAAAGGTAAGCTTAAATATTAATGCAATATTTAAATGCAGCAATCAATTATGAGTTCTTGTTGCCTATCACATCTACTCCTCCCTAATGAGATGATGGCCCAATCAAGAGCTTTCTGCAGGAGCTAGCTTAAATGCTACCCAATAGGGTGGCTTTTAATCTAGTAATCTAATATTTTGTTTGACAAAGATCACTTAAAATTTTGTTTCTTTTTCTTTTTAAGGAATTACTGCCATCAAATGTTGACCATGACTGGATAAAGAGAATTTTTTCCCGGTGTGGTACTATTTCTTATATCAGTATTCCAAGGTACAAATCAACTGGTGACCCCAAGTCATTTGCATTTGTTGAATTTGAAACAGTGGAAGGAGCCAAAAAAGCTTGCCAGGTGAGTCAAAAGAAATTGCCACTGTTACGAGGATGAATTTCTATAAAAAAAAATAATAAAAAGAGATTCTACTGAGTCCTACTTGTTAATACAAAAAAGTTTTCATTCATGAAGTAGTTGTAAAATAGAGAAATTAGAAATAGAATCTTTAGAAGATTCTAGATTATTCCAGTATATTCGAGAAAAATCTAGAAATATGCTAATTAGGTGCTTGCTTGTTTTTGAAAAAGGAATTTCTGCCATTATCAACTTGTTATACTGGAACATACCTATTCTATTGTTAATAGACTCTCCCACCTATAATAAGTAGGAATGGTAGCAGTCGCTAAGTGGCTCAGTGAGTTGGTCAGTCAGTCAATGTCGGACGACCGTTAGTCGGATATTAAAGTATCAGCCACCACAACTAGATTGCTGCGTCATTAACTATTATATCAAGTTCCTAACGTTTTGTACGTCAAACCTATTTTAGGACCGACTTAGTGAAATACAAGCTTCCACTGTGAAACTACTCTACAACACTTGACGACGAGGATTCAAACTCATACAGAAAAAAAAAAAAAATTTGTTCGCCATATCCAACACTTGGCGACGAACGTATTCAGATTTATACGGAGGAAGAAAAAAAATTTTGTTCACCATTCAACAACTTGGCGATGAGGGATTCGAACTCATATGGAGGAAAATAAACTTTTCGTACTCTACAACACAACTCCAGCTTTTTGATTCGAAGATTAATATATCCAGCCGAAAGAATCTCTAAGAAAAGATGCCGACCAACAAAAACTCAAAAAGAGAACCTAATGGAACAGATATGGTAAACAGTTTTGACAATTTTTCATTGACCAAACTACAAATTAATCTAATATATATATATATAATATATATATATATATATATATATATATATATATATATATATATATATATATATATATATACTAGAGAACCCGGCGCTGAAAATGTAACAATGTTTATAGATCAAGTATGGACGATCATAAAGACTGAAAAATAAAATTGACAAAGATTATTGTTTAAGGTTGACAGACATGCATGTCTTAATTAGTTTTTTTTTTTTTTTTTTTTTTTAATTTATCAAACCCAAATTCAAACAAAAACATTGTTTACAATCGTTATGATTTATGGAAATAATACAGTAATTCCATCTACGCTTTTACGCAAGTTTTCCTCCTTCCTTCCACACTTGTGCGTGTGTGCCTTTTGATTCACTGATTACACCCCTTCCTTTCTCGTTAAGCTAAATATAGTAGTAAACCTTTTCTTTTAGTTATTTAAAACTAATTACAAGTTATTGTCGTTTTATCAGCTCCTGCTGATGTCACCAATCTAACAAATTTAAATTACCGTTTTTCTCTGACGTCACGGACAAACTAATCGTTTGAGTTCAGTCGGGACTAAAATTTTCGATCCATGAAGTTGACTCATTTATTCCTCGTCAGTCAACCTTAAATACAGACAGGGATATCTTACTGACAACAAATAATTCTTCATTCCTTTTGGCTTGTCAGCAAATAATTTTCTTCAAGATGATGCAACCAACAACAAATAAGTCTTCCAATCCTTTTTTGGCTCGTCAGAAATAATTTTAGCAGCAAATTCAATGCCTGATCCCAAAATCTGAGATGACTGAACTTTCTCACGACCGTGAACCTGAACAAAAAGGGTATAAAAAAAAAAACAACACAAAAACACTACACACACTTACAAATACCCAAATCCACAGGCAATTTTTTATCTGTGCACATCTACACCTCGTGTTAACGAAATTTTTTGTTTTGAACTTTAAAAAAAAAAAAAAAAAAAAAAAACTTTTCCGCCTTGTTCACCTTGCTATCCTATTTTGGCGGAACATTTTCCCTGATCTCATACCACGAGATAATCTACTTGTTTTTTCCATTTAATAAAAAAATTACACTTGTTTTGAAAAAAAAAAAAAAATTTTTCCCGTCTTGTTCACCTTGCTATCCTACCAAAAAAAAAGTGAAGTTTTGTTGAAATCGGTTGAAAAATGTAGATAGCCTTTCTCTGTAATCTTTTACAATTTATGATTTTACTTATTGAATACAGTAAAAAAAATTGCATATTTTGCTTGTGGTGATTCATAATTAGAATTCTGATTTGAATATATTTTTCCACTCATTGTTTCTAATACAAAAAATATTAACTTTATTTGGGTTTATTAATTTATTACAAGTACTGTGTTCTTTTCTTAATAATTATCATCTTCAAATATTGTTTTTTTGTCTATCAGATTTCTTACGTCGGCATTTTTAAATTATTTCTTAATAATTTTTTTTTAAATATTGAATTAATTTCAAATAGAACCAATGCCTTATTGATCTGCCTTGTAACAAAAATTGCAAAGGAATTGAAAAACGGCACTAAAGTGCGTGGAATTATCTTTCCCTATTTTATCAAATCGAAAAAATGATTGATTATCTGTCCTTTTTTTGACCAAAAAAAAACAATATTTTTAACGAAAATTTCAGACGTGCTAAAACGATTAAAAATGTAAAAAAAATACCCCAAAAATACTTTGATCCTTCCTCTTTAATAATAATATGAACATTAGGCGATAAAATTTTGTTTTCGTCAAGTTAAAACTTTTTTTCATCATGCTATGCTCTTTTGTTTACATTTTCGTGGGTGAGTTGTCCCCTTTCATTCTCACAATGTGTCTTAATCGTTTTTCAAATTGATTTTGTTTAAAAAACAGTGTTTTTCCCATTTTCGCATATAAGAACCACCACAAGGTAATTTTATGTAGTCCTGTGAAGTTTTGTTGAAATCGCAAAAATGTAGGAAATTCAATCCAATATATAAACGTTACAGACACACACACAATCTGCGTTTTATAATAAGTAAGATAAGAGATATATATATATATATATATATATATATATATATATATATATATATATATGATCATATATATATGATCACATTTGTGGATTTCCAGTAATAGCACTTAGATTACTTACGTGGTAAAGATACTTGACTCCCCTTCCTTCTCCCTCGTAACACTTTGCCAGTAAACTCTGTTTTCTGTTTTGTATGTCACAATTGTATATCTTGTATATATTTTATCTTGTGTTTTTTATAAATTAAATATTTGTTTGTGATTTAGCTCTGTGTTTTGGTAAAGCATTTTTTTTTCTTTGTTACAATTTGCAACACGTAACGCCACTTAACGACATTTTCTTGAAATTTTTTTTATATGTATAATGATTTCATCCCAAGTAAGGTGAAAATGCCACTAAGACGCAAGGGATTACTGGGAAGAAAAGAGAATGAAAAGACTAGTGAAGAGAAAGGCAATAAAAGAACAGAATTCAGGAAAACAAATGGCAATTGACATTGTATTTAAATATTTGAAGATTGTTGGTGGCAAGAAACTAGGAGAGAGTTCCACAGGCAAAAAATGTAAGAAAATTCACTATTAGAATAGAACTTATAGTTACATCTAAAAATTATTGGTTTGGTGCATAATTATAAGGCGTTTTTGCATGCTAATTATTTGTTAATAAAAATTGCTGTTTTCTTTACTATTTTTTTAATAAAAATATTATTTTATTCTCAGGTTATAAAGATGTGTGTCGATAATCATAGGCTCCGGAATAATCATTTAAAAATGTTATTGTTCAAATGTTCTGTTTCTTTTTTCATAAGAAATATTGTTTAAAAACGCCTGATAATTATGCACCAACCCAATATAACAGTAAAACAATGAGACCTAGCTGCCAGTCTAGTAATATACTTAAATTCATGCAGTTGAGGTACCAAGGAGGAAAGCTTATTAGAGCAATGACCATAAAAATATTTCTAGAAGGCAGAAGCAAGCTATGTAAGTACATCGCTGAAGAACCAAAAGAAATGGACATAGATGAACAAAACTCTATCCCATTTCAAACAAGGGAATGGTCACCATCCAGGCAAAGATTGCCAAAAGAACCTGATGGAAAAAACAAATAAAAGAAAACAAGCAGAAACAAAAGACTACCAAAGAACAAAATGACAAGAAACAAAGCACTAACAGACCAGAGAGCATAGAAATTATGGACACTTTACCCACTAAATATAAACTGGACAAGAACACCCTAATACACAAGTAGGTTGCAATAAATTATACAGTGAAATCGTCGAGGCTGGGAAAAAAATTATTACTAGAAATACATTTTTTTTTTTTTTTTTTAATAATTATTATTACCAGCAATACATTTTTTTTTTCTTTAAAAAAAATAATTATTATTACCAGCAATACATTTAAAAAAAAAAATAATAATTATTATTACCAGCAATACATTTTTTTTTCTTTAAAAAAAAATAATTATTACCAGCAATACATTTTTTTTTAAATAATAATTATTACCAGCAATACATTTTTTTAAAAAAAAAAAGAATTAAAATAATACCAACAATACATTTAAAAAAACAAAAAAACAAAAAAAAACTTAATACCAGCAATACATCTTTGAGAAAAATTTTTTTTATCAGGAATGGATTTGATTCTCGACAAAAAATACGTCAATAGAACCTGATCTACAAACTGATTTCTCACAAAGAATATATATTCTATTCATACAAACCTATCCTAAAAATTTTGTTAGCATTAAATAGCCCATTGAGGTTGATATGTCGTAAGATCAAAATAGACCAAATCATTACTGATAAAGGAACAAGCAGAATTATAATATAATACATTGCTATTTGGACCAGCATCCTCATTTTGGTTGTTATGCTCACAATATCTTTGTATGCTCTGGACTTCTTCAGATATCTGTCATTGTACTCGTGACTGGTAGTGCTAGAAAGTTACATATTCTTGTTCAGTTGCAGAAATGGACAAGTGACAAAGGTAAACAAGACTGGTGGGTATTTTAGAGAGAGAGAGAGAGAGATTTCACTCTACTGTGGAGTATAGAGCCATAGTCTTGCTATACTACCATTGCTGCTAAGATTTCTGTAGCAAGTTTCTAGCTCCATGTGTAGTATTTTGAATTCAAATTTATCCTTTCCTTAGACTGGTTACCAACCAAACCTTGAAACCCAGTCTGCTCTGTTATTTAGCTCCTATAACTGAGAAAAGAATTCATGCCCTTTCCCAAATGATACTTGTATGAGAGTCAACCAACAACTTTGGCCAGAATTTGAAATCTGAAAATTGATTTTTTTTTTATTTTTTATTTTTTTTTTCCATGATAAGCACTGTGCCAATCCTAACCATGAGATTGATTAAAAGGTTTGGTCTAGTATAGTGATGAAGACAGACACCTGAAGAAGGCTGGTGGGTACTGTGGCTGAAACGTGAGCATAATGACTACATAACAAAGTATATCACTTAACCACTTCACGTATCTACTTACCTATCTATCAGTGATTATTTGTATTTATGTCTTTATAACCCATAATTTACCATTTTGTCTAATTTAAGATTTTAAACAATCCGCCAACGGAAAGAGAGCACAAACCAGGGAAATTTCCGAAACACAATAAAGCGATGGTCCAGTTAAGAAAAAAAATGAATGGTTTGTATTACCTTCTTTTTAGTCGTTTTACCCCAAGTAAATCAACAATGAAAATGAGAACGACTGAGGAAAGGGCAATAAAGGAACAGACTTTAAGAAGACACATGATGATGCTTGACATTGCATTTAAATTTTTGTAGTTATCAGGGAAGCAAGAAATCTGAAGGGATTTCCACAGGTGGGAAGTAAGAGAAAAGAACTGTTAGAGTTCATTATTTGACAGCATGTGGCTTCAGCTCTCTTTTTGATACAGTAAAGATGTATACGGAGTTTATACAGGTCCTGGAAACCTTGAAAAGTCCTGTAAAATTGACAGGGCCTTTTCCGGGGCTTAAAAAGTCATTAGAAAAATAGCAATAGCCCAAAAGCTCTTTTAAAATTCATGGAATTTTCTAAGTTAGACTTTTCACACATTCCTTTTCTCAATTCATGAAAGTCAAAATGCCAATTCCCAGAAATCTGACTTTTTTTTTCTTCCTGTCCTTTAAAAAAAATTATTTTTTAGTCGTCAGTAATATTTGGCAATTATAGCAAATGTTAGTTTGTTTTCTTGATTAGAATAACTTAATGCCCTCATAGTTACTTCTGTATTTTCTCATCTCAGTGAGAAGAAATAAAGAGAGAAAGAATATGAAGGCGTGTCTTCTTAGCTGCTACCCTCACTCAACAAGAAAAGAAGAAAAGCAAAGATAAAAGGCATCAGAAACAAGTAAACATCTCCGTCAAAAATAAAATCACACTCGTCAAATTTGCAGTTGAAAGGAAAATAATAAATTATTTTACAATAATAAAAATACATTTTTTTAATAGAATCTCGAAAAATTTATCAGTGTTTTTTAAAATTTGAAAAATTGAAGAAATTTTATTCACATGTTAATTTCAAAAGTCCTTTTGATCTCTAGTTAGTCGGTGAGTGAGTTCATGCTGAAAATAGTCAATACTTTATGTGTAAAGTTTACAGGCTAATAATTAACTGCATCTCTAGTTTTTGTTGTAACTGTGAAAAAATGATGAAATATATTAAAACTTATCTTGCTTTTATTGCTTGGTTTTATATTAAAATATAAATTTGGCAACCCTGTCCCTATACTTTTGTATTTCTGCCATGTGTGCAGTGCATACATAAACTGAAGCCCTTATTTCCATTTTTGGTAAAAATGGAGAAAAGTGATGTAAAGAGTTCCATAAATAGTTTTGCAGCCATAGATGACAAGAAGATGTGCAAGCATATAAACATTTGGCCAGATTTCCTAAAATCTGAACTTAATTATAAAAATAAAAAAAAAAAACTGAAAAATATCCTCAAACCATGTCCTTCACTGCAGTGCTGTCAAACGTGAATGATGTTTTATTTCTGGTGAAACTGCAGATTTTTGTTTTGAAAGACATTGAATCATTTCTAATAAAATATCAGCAATAAATCATTGCTTCCTTTCCTTGCAGATGATCCTTTTTAGCATGATCATGAAACTGTTATCATTTCTAAAGGAAGAGAACACTAAAAAGTAAATACCTTCACTTTTTGCTGAAAAAACAACACAGCATTATGAAAAAGGCCCCAAACTTAATGAAAAAAACATTTTATCATCAAAATGTTTATTAAGAAGAAAGACTAAAGTATTTTTTTATTTTAAATTTTTTAAGCACGTTCGAAATTTTGGTTAAAAATCTTTTCTTTTTTTTTTTTTTTTTTTTTTTTTTTTCTTGTGTGAATAGTCAACATAATTTACGATTAGTGTTCTAGCACCTTTTTTCTGGTGAAAAACATTGATTTGGAAAATCTTGCAAAAATCAATTGTGAGATTTTAATTAAACTTTAAGGATTTATTCACTACTGAATGAAATTATTTTTGTAATTTTTTATATATATATATATATATATATATATATGGTACCCCAACCTCTCAAATTAATTTCATGGAATTTCGGAAGTTAAATTTTCATCTAAGTTTTTGTATTTGTCAGAAGCAGGACTCCTTGAAGAAAATAAATCATCAATATTTTTTTATTTTTTTTTTTTTTTAACTATTTATTTCCTGGGAATTTGCTCTGAATCGTAAAATAAAAAAATTCAATGAAACCATGATATTATTTAATTAGAAAAGCTTTAATTGCTTTTATAAATAAGATTTATTAAGGATAATATTGTCTTAGGGAAAAAAAATTTTCAATGAATAATGAATTTTTACAAGAATTGTTTTCATTTTTTAAAAGTTTTTAGTATACTAATTTATAATATATAAATCTTAAAATTCTGCATTATTTTCATTTGGTTAGGTGACATTGTTATTAAATGAAAACTATATGTATTAATCAAAAATTGAAAAGCTTAATATAAAGTATTTTGCACCAAGATTTTTAAAATAATTTTTTGTTTATAAAATTAAAATAATTTAAAACATTTTTATGTATATAAAACATTATGTAATGTGCCCATTTTTTAAAGTATGGTTGACCATACATGACATTATCAGAAAATAAGAGCAATGATTATAGCAAATTTAAAGTCAACATTCCTAAAATTAGAGTACAGAGAATATTTTCCAACATTTTTAAGATTACTAAGTACTTAAAAATTATATAAAAAAAAAAAAAAAAGGCACACATCATTTTCTTATGTTTTACAGATAAAGTCTCTGTAGAACAACAATCATTATGACATGACCTTTCATTGACTTGTCAATTATGTAAAACATGGTGATATCAGTTAAAAACACAACTACTGTTTTGTTTCAAAAATACATTTCTATAAATAATATCTTTTTTCAAATCCAATTAATTATACTTTAAATCAGCTAATATTCCTCAAATAAAGATTTAGAAAAGTATATTTAACTTTTGAAAGATTTTTTAATACAGAGAATTACATAAAAATTATGTGTATAAAAATTTGATGTTGAATATATAAATATGAGTGTGGATCAATAAGTTCATAGCCTGACAAATATTTAACTAATTTTTGGTCTGAAATTCTCATAGTATAATGTTCAATATACATGTTTATTATTCACGAGACAAGTGCATTGACATGGCAGGTGATATGTTGAAAAATAGATATTTTCTGCCTGAATTTCTGGGCTGAATAGCTACCATTATTTATACTATTTGCATTCAGACTATTGTCCTCATCTTTGTTGTTGTTATCACAATGTTTTCAACTCTTGTGCTCTCTGGTCTTCGTCAGGTGTATATCTATAGGCAACCTACAGACAATTCTGTACTGAACCCTTTATTTAATCTAGGGGGGTGGGGTAAACTGTTCTCATTCCACTGCTCATGTCTCGGTTCTTATTTTTAGTACTGCTCAGTTATTGCTCACCTGTTTCAGCTGAGTCGTAAGTACTTACTACTTGGCTCAATTACTATGTCACTAAATTTTCCTGTAGGACAATAGCCTAGTGGATTTTATTGCTGGAATCAAGTCCTATGATTAATAGCTATATTATGATAGCAATGGAGTTAATGTTTTCACAATTTTAAAATACCTAAATGTTAATGTGAGTTTAACAAAGTTAGTATTATTTCTGAATCAATCTGAGATGTTTGTGTTATTTATGGGATAGATTCTTAAAAGAAGATAATTATTTGGATATGGATTTTTCTGACCCTAAATTTAGGCACTAATGAAATGATCACCACCCCCCATACATTTTTCCGACTCTCAATTTAGACACTACTTACAAAATGATCCCATATACATTTTTCTGGCCGTAAATTTAGGCATTAATGAAGTGCTCGCCCCCACACCTCATTTTTCCGATTCTCAATTTAAACACTACTTACAAAATGATCCCATATACATTTTTCTGACTGTAAATGTAGGCACTAATGAAATGGTCCCCCTCCTCCTCCCCCCGATACATTTTTCCGACTCTCAATTTTGGTACTACTTAAAAAATGATCCCATATACCTTTTCTCTGACCATAAATAATTTAGGCACTGATGAAATGATCCAACCTAACCCCCCACCCCCACCCCGATACATTTTTTTCTACTCTCAATTTAGACACAGCTTATAAAATTACCCTAAATTCAGACACTACTAACGGGATGACCAGTGATATATTTTTCTGACCTTAAATTTAGACACAACTTACAAAATGACCCCTTTAACATTTTCTGACACTACTTACAGGATGACCACTAATACATTTTTCTCATTTTCTATTCCTGTCTAGCAGCCCTTGATGAGAGTGAAGTGAAAGAATGTGATTTGTCCAGTAATGAAAAAAGCAAGACAAGTAGGCAGAAACGGAAGAGGAAGATTAGCAGCTGCAGTGCAGAGGGTAAAGACATACAAGCCAGTAAGAGGCAAAAGTCCGAGTCACTGTGTGGGGAAACATTAGAGGAAGGCTGTTCCAAGGTTTTGACCGAGCACCAAAATGAGTCAGTGCTAGATAGTACCAAGTCTGAAGATGAGGACAAAGTATGCGGTGGCAGTGGCAAGAAGAAAAAGAAGAGGAAACAGCGCCAACAGTCAGAGTCCTCTGGCAACAAATCCCAGGAAGATGAAGTGTCCGATAAGTCTCGTCCCCGCTCGGACAGTTTCAGTAAGCTCCACGACAGTGAGGGTGGTAGTAATAGCAAGTACAGGCGCAGAGCATACAGCTGTTCGAAATTGACCGACAGTGAATTGGTGGGTAAAGTTACAGTGCCGAAGACTGAACCTGAATCCAAACCCAAGGCTGAAGAGCCAGTAGAATCAGAAAAAGGAGATGAGAAAGAATTGGCAAAGACTAGGGATGAGTCTGTTAAAGAGAAATCTGAAACGGACTGCCAGGCTGAGACTGAAGCAGCTTTTTTATGCAAAGAGCGCAAACAAATCAAGCGTAAGAAAGAAAGCATGGAAAGCGTCTGCAGTGATGTTGAAAATCTGCCGAAACATCAGAAACTCAATAACGACATTTTGGAAATGCAAGGAGAAAGGAATGATTTTAAGAAAAGGCGACACCAACATCGGAAACCAAAGAAACATTATCCTAATCTTAGAGTGCTTTCTAAGTAAGTACCCTGCTATTATACTTTGAATTTAAAGTAGTTTAGTTTGATTGGGAAAATGATGATTTGCTTGATTTTTCCTCTTTGTGACTTTGGACAGTTTTTTTTTTTTTTTTTTTCAGCAAAAATTTTCGGATGTTTTCATTTGCAGTCATATATATTGCCACACAAATGTATGCAAATATACAGTGAGGAAAAAAAAATGTACATTGTGTATTTATCGTTATAAATTTTAGCTCTGTTATTATATATCGACAACTGTTTTATTGTAGACTTTTTATTTTTAATCAGAACCACCCCCAGCAAGTCAGTAATACCACTAAAACATGAGGGGTTACAGAGTGTGGAAGAATTAGGAACAAAAACATTAATGATGAGCAGAAGGAGAAGAGAGTAATCAGGAGGAAAGTGGATAGCAATTGATATGGCATTTAAATTTTTGCAGATTAAAATTGACTGGAAAGCATAGATCCAGACGTGAGTTCCACAAGCAAGAAGTGCGAAAAAAGAAACTGTTGGCATAGAATTTACGGTTACATCTAGCCAACTCGACAGTAATGAGATCTCAACACCAGTGTAATACCACAGTTCCAAAATCAGCTTGCTCAATATATATATATATATATATATATATATATATATATGTGTGTGTGTTTGTAGTAGGTTGTATGTAAGTCTTTCCCCCCCATAAATAAATAGACTGGTACACTATCTAAACAGTAGGTTATAAATATTAACATTTAAATTTTACAACAGTAAGTTTTCAATCTGTGCCTAGTGATTGCCTTGTACCAAATGGTAAGAATATATATATATATATATATATATATATATATATATATATATATATATTATTATAGTTATTATAGAACAATAATAATTTGAAGTAGACAAACCTTTTTTAAAATATACAGGGTATGATGGGTAAATTGTCGCCATTTTATGTTTTTTATTTCGTGCTGTTGTTTGTTTTTGATTTTGTTGACTTGCACTGTCTGTGAGAAAAAAAAAGCACCATTATAAAATTCACTCTGCAGAAATTTGGAAACAGCTTGCTGTACTGCTTGGCATTCACACGGGAAGCTCCAATACAAACATTTCAGAGGGTTTGTGTATCAATCTGAGGACAGTGCAGAGGGTTCAGAAAGCATTGGATGATATAATGTTTGAAGTGATCACTAGTAATGGCAACGTTATGCCTCCATTCTTCTTCCCACAGGTCCTCAACCTCAACACTGAGGCCAGCATCAAGTGTCTTGAAAACAGTGTTGATTGATGCGTTGCTGGTACAGAGTCCAAGATTCTACACTATAGTGTAGGGATGTCAGTACTACTGACTTGTACATACTAATTTTCACCTTCAACAAGCCACCACAAGTTTTCTAAAGTCTATGGTAAAGATTACTGGAAGCTGAACTCACCTTTCAAATCCTGCAGTTTCTTTGTCCATCTTAACATTGTGGATACAATGGAACCAATGTAGGTGAAAGAGAGAAAAGAGAAAACCATTTTCAAGGCTTTTCCATCAGTATGCATAGAGGGAACAACAGCTGAGGGTTGGTTACAGATAGGCTGATGAACTATATATATATATATATATATATATATATATATATATATATATATATATATATATATATATATATAATATAATTATTTATTTAAAAATATGATTCCAACTTCATGACATAAGAGGTCTCATGTTTCAAAACAAGAGCCGAAAAATTCATTATAATTATTTGAATTAAATTGAGTTAAAGTAAGCTCTGTTCCATCATCAAGTGAAATTTTTTTTGGAATAACATATTTCTGAAATTTACGTGTTTTAATAATTGAAATCAAAATTTCCATGGTAACAGCTAAGGCAAATTGTTTAAATTAGGTAGGCGTGTGTTGGGTGTTAATAATAAGTATTAACACCCAACACACGCCTACCCATTTTAAACAATTTTTTTATGATCAGTTTTTTTTTACACAAAAAATAGGAGATTGCACTATACCTAGGTAATTATTTTTTATTTGTTTTTGGAGAGGTTAAAAATCATGCATTTTCAGTGACTGGTTGCACTAAATACAGGTAAATCTTTTCTGGAAGATTCATGCATTTTCAGTGACCATAACATACTTAATGATACAGGTAATCTCCTTCAGCCATCCTTCCTTCTATTATCTAGAGTCTTTATTTTTATTGTTACATGAATAGCAGAATGTCCTTCACTATGTATGCCACTTAAAATCTACAAATACCTTTTCCTTTATTTACATTGTTTGGACTGTTGTCCTCATCTTTATTGTCTTATTCATGACATTTCAGCCTTCTTCAGATTGAAATTGAACCAAACCGAACCCTTTATTTTGTCCACCGGAGAAGATTGTTCTAGTTCTTCGGATGTGTCAGTTATCTCCCTTAACTAAAGTCTCCACGTTTTTAACTAACAATTCTTGAGTCACTGGATCCAACCAACACTTTTATCCACTAGGCCACGTGTCAGTGCATGAATTTTGGGGACTTATAAACTTAATGTCACAGTAATCATTTTTTACCGGAGCTCACATTGCAATTTTGTTGTTGTTATTGCATTTCTCGAGCATTCTGTATTACTGGTTCCCACATTGTATTCATTTCTATGCTTGCCTGGCTTAGGATATTTTTGTGGCCTAGTATGTGCGTTGATTCCTTAAGTTTTTGCATTTTCCAGTGCTGTTCTGTCTATTATTACTTTGGCTGTAAAGTGAGGGATCAGTTTATATAGTGATTGTAATATAAAATTGATCCTCCATTTTATATCCACATTTTAATTTCTTGTTTGTTTGTCAAATTTTGATTAGGTATGAATCCACTCAGCTATGGGTTAATTAGTAAGATTTGTATCATTAAACCATTATTATCTCACAATATATAGTCTCACAATCAAAAAAATATTTTCTGGCTTTAAATAAGCTGCAAAGAGTTGACAAACTATAAAAAATGAATGAATCAATCAGTCCATGATAAAATGTGATGACCTCAGCCTGACCTGAACTGGCTTTGATATTCTCAAGTAAATAGTTTAAAAGAATTACTTATTATTTACTCTATTTACATGTAAACTATTGTCCTTATCTTTGTTATTGTTGTCACCACATATCAGCTGTAGTGCTCTCTGGCCTTAATATGTTTCTTGATTTAGGTAACCTATTCGGAATTCCAAATTGAAACCTTTATTAAATCTCGAGGGATAAACTGTTCTTGTTCTACTTCTCATGTCTAGGGATATTGTCAGTATCTTATTTTAATTTAGTATTGTATTGTTCAGTTATTGCTTACCCTGTTTCTACCAAGTTCAATTACACACTGCTTGAACCAGTGATTGAACTCATAATTACTATGGCATCAAATTCACAAACCAGCCATTAAGGTATTGTCTCATTGGACAATTCTCTGGAGAATTTGGAGCCTTAAACCTAACTTGTCTGCTGATTAGCGCTGCTGGTCATGCTTGACTGCACTCACTGAAACTTTCTCTTACAGCTGCTGCTGTTGAGACTTGCTGTCATTTCTCTTTCTTAGCGGCTCTCATATTGTACATATTTCTATGCTAGGTCTACTGAGGAGGTCCTTGTAGCCTAGCATATGTGCTGATTCTTTCAGATTAATTATTGAACCAAACAATATTCAAATTATTACAAAATGTTAAAGTATATAACAAAATATAACTCCTAAATACTTACATATGTGGACTTACGAGAGAAAGTAAAAAGATTATCTACACATACAGTTATATATGTTATTATGGTGAAAGTGTGGACAATTTTTGACTTAGCTTCATATGTATGTGTACATAAAATTAATTTTTAAAAATGTTATAAACCTTTGTGACTGGTGTTGAAATATCAAAAAAAAAAAAAAAAAAAAAAAAATACAAAAACCCAACACTTTACTATTTAGACAAATATACCTGTCTTAGTTATACCCACTTTTCATGTCTTAGTACCCTGTATTCAACCTACTGGGGTAGACTTGTTGTCATTTTTCACACTCAGGGGATATTTCAATAGTCACCTTACTCTTATTCATGTTGTGTTATTTCCCTGTTTTTTCCATGATGATTTCATTTTTTTCAGTACTACCAGACCCCAGGATTGAACTCCTAATTGCCAGGGAACCAGATATGTTTTAACCAAAGCTTTAATCCACCAGCCCATGTGTCAATCCTGTGGTCTCATTTCGGTCATTTTTGGCCTTGATGGTAGAATTTTAAATGTCCTTTAATATTCATCTCTATGCTAGGTCTACTGCGAAGGTTGTCAGCACCTGTGCTTAAAAACAGGAATGAGAATAATCTACCCATGTAGATTGAATAAAGTGTTCAGTTTGAAATGCCAAAGAGATAACTGAGTACAATGATTGGTATCTGAAGAAGGCTAGAGGATAAAATGGCTGAAACGTTGTGAATATAACAACCAGTATGAGCATACTGGTCAGAATAGCAGGGCATATAATAATACTTCATCTAACAAATTCTGACATAAATCTTGATCTTTGTTTATTTGACTAGAGAGGAATGGCTACAGTACAAGGCTGACTACCTGAATACACAGAGAGCAAATATGGCTATGTTAAAAAAGATGTTGGCAGAAAAAACAAAACGTCAAGGTAAGTCAAAAAATTTTTCTTTTGTTTTCTTTTTTTCTTTTGTTTTCTTTTTTTCTTTTGTTTTCTTTTTTTCTTTTGTTTTCTTTTTTTCTTTTGTTTTCTTTTTTTTTTTTCGTTTTCTTTTTTTTTTCTTTTTCTTTTTTTTAGGAGTGGAGAAGATTTACAAGTTTTCCTTATTTATAAAGCAAGGGATTGAAAGTCAGATTCCTAATTCATTTAAATATCATTTCTGCCTTAGATTTTCATAAGTCAGTTTTCCAGTCATCACTGGGTGATCTATTGCATATATAATCCTCTTAATCTTAATAATTATATATAATCCTCTTAATCTTAATAATTTAAGCTATGATTGCTCTTGGAAAGTTATCCATTTTTTTAATTTATTTTTTAAAACATTCTATTTTAATGTTGCATCCCTTCAGGACTTAAACGATCGTGGCTCTCCACAGATTCCCTTTTCTTAATATCTGTGAATTACGATAACTTGGGAAAGTTAGTGGAATCATTTCCTGTTACCTTCTCCATGGATTTGAAATCTAAATAGTCAGTCTCCTGTACTGGCTGCCACCCAAGGATAGGGAGCCAAGTTTAATCTGCTGTTTAATCCATAGCTGGAGGTAGCGAGAAGAAATGGATTCATGGTTTTCTCAAGGTCATTTGTGTGAAAATGAATGCAACAGACTAGGCCAGGATTTGAACTCTTTCTGTATTGATAGTCATTAATGTGAACATCCAATATCAACAATATATTAAACTAATTAGTTTGTTGGGACGTCTTCATGTATCATCATAGGGGTTTTGGTTGCACATATATTAGGCGATAAGACTCTACTTTATTTATACCCACAGTTTTCATCCATTTTTCATTAAAATCCAAAGAAGAATCTGCAATGTTATTGGTCCAGAACTGGCATCTCGGCTTCACTTTCCCACTGTCGAAAGATAGATTCCTTGTGCCTTTTCTTTAAATACTTTCATGATAATTGTCTCATCACTTTGCAGTTTAAATGGCTAGATGTAACCATAAGTTCTATGCTGACAGTTTCTTGTCGTGCACTTCTCACTTGTGGAACTCACTTCCGGCTTCTTGCTTCCTAGTCAACTTTGATCTTTGAAAATTTAAATAGAATGTCAATCATTATCTTTTGTCTTAATTCTTGTTCTTTTATTGTCCCCTCTCATTAATAGTAATTTTTCTAATATTCAGTAACCCCTTGCATCCTAGTGGCTTTTTTGCATTACTTGGAGGGAAATGATTAAAAAAAAAAAAGAATTACATCTTATCCATTAAAGGATGTTTTGCATGACACCATTGGTGTTCAAATCCGGTCTGTTAGATTCTACCATTGACTAAATCCATCATCTGACTGCTGACATCTTCACCATAACTCTGACACAGGATGACTAGCCCAGTGAGCGAAATTAAGGGTTCGGTTCAACATTCCAACCAACTGAAGAAAGCTGAAGCGTACAACGTCCAAAATATTGTGATAAATATGGCAACAAAGATGAAGACAATAGTCCGAATAATGTAAATAGTGTACATAATACCTCATCTCAGAAATATAGACAGACATTAAATTATTTCACTTAGCATCCTCCTCCATAACTAACTTAGACTTTTCGGTTAACCAAATGAATATTTATGAGTGTTTAAAAATTTTGAAAAACTAACAGCGTTTTTTACTTTTATAAGTACTTGTTGCAAAATAAAATCCTTATATTTCACTTAATAAAGTCCATTAAGAGATGAAACTCATTGGTTAAGATAAGTTTTCCTTTTGTCTTTATTCATATTGTCCTTTACAGATATATCTTTATATCTGGAATTTACACACACACACTTTTTATTTTATTAGGTTGGTGCAAAAATAATGGCGTAATAATGTCGTTTTTTGACGTTAAAAAATACGTCAAAAAACAACATTATTACGTCATTATTTTTGCACCAACCTAATATTTAATGTTAGCATTGGATATTTTACTTTTAATGAAAAGCATGTCTTTTAATAATGTGCAGTCTGGGGATAAACTTGTTTGAATGAATGTTAAGATAAGTGACAAATAGGAAACGTTTATCAATCTAACATGTTTCACTTTTGTTAAAGCTTCATCAGAGAATGAGATATGCAAATGAATGTATAAAGAGTTCCAACACTTGCCCATCTGTGCATGCACTGATTCAGTAGCCAATTTCTTATGTCATCATTTCTTCTATTTGAATGTAATTGATTCTTTTCCTTTATAGAACCAGAAAATCAACCAAGTCCAGCAAAAGAGAATTATGAATTTATTCCAAATGTGATCATCAATGTCAAATCAGATTTGCTGTTGAACATTAAAGAAGTGAAGGTCAGTAAAATTTTTAATTTCTGAGATGTGGAGGTATCGTTATTTGCAGTTGGATTAATGTCCTGTCCTTGTTGTCGCCGCCGTCGCGATGTCCTTTGTTGTCGCTGCCGCCGATGTCGATGTCCTTGTTATATTGTCGCCGCTGCCGCCGCCGATGTCCTTGTTGTCGTCGTCGTCGTCGATGTCCTTGTTGTCGTCGTCGTCGTCGATGTCCTTGTTGTCGTCGTCGTCGTCGATGTCCTTGTTGTTGTCGTCGTCGTCGATGTCCTTGTTGTCGTCGTCGTCGATGTCCTTGTTGTTGTTGTCGTCGTCGTCGATGTCGTTGTTGTTGTTGTTGTCGTCGTCGATGTCCTTGTTGTTGTTGTTGTCGTCGTCGATGTCCTTGTTGTTGTCGATGTTAATGTCTGAACATTTCACCTGTGTCCTCCAGCCTTAATCAGGTGTCTGTCAATCTGAGTCACCTTTAGAGAATTTCAAATTTTTTTTTTTTTTTTTTTTTTTTTTCCCAATTCAATTCACCCCAAGCAAGGCAATAATGTCCCTAAGATGCAAGGTGTCACTGGGAGTGAAAGAGAATGTGAAGACTCTAGAAGGAACTGAAAAGATAATCCTAAACAAGAAAAAAGTGATAAACATCTCCTCCTGTTCAAAAGACCAGCAAGGAATGCAAACTGGATAATAGGCGAACCTATATTGAACCCTTTATTTAATCAATGGGCTGGATTGTTCTCATTCCACTGTTTATGTCTAGGGAGTTCTCATCTTGGCTAATTTTTTAGTTATTGCTGGTCTTGGTGTCACACAGCCTGAGCTTATCTATATTAACTGGCCCAATGGCTATAATGCTTTTAAAGGCAGCATGGTGGCATTATGGATACTGGCTCGGATTGAGGAATCAGAGAGTCGAGTTCGAATTCCAGTCAGATCCACTACTTTCACTTACGTACTAATACTCTTGCGAAAGGTATGAATCCTCTTCTCCCAGTCCTAGGTAAGATGATAAACTACATCCAACAGCAAGGCCTCTGATCAGGAGGTTTTGAGGAGTGTAGAACCACCTCTTAATTGCTGGTGTTCCCAGGTCCACCCTGATTCAGAGTGGTCGCACCTGTCAGAGTCCCATGGGCAAATAGTTAACCCCTCCCCCCCCCCCAAAATGGGGTGAAAACACTATGAAAGTATAAAAATAGGTTTTAATAACAGCAATACATTTTTGTAAAAATTATTACAGCACTACATGTTTGGAAAAAAAATATTACCAACAATAAAATTCTTGTCAGCATTAAATAACCCATCAAGATTAGTATACCGTAAAACAAAACAAACCAAACCAAACCAATCTTCTTCTCCCTTTTGCTATGGGTAAATAGCAGTACAGACTGTGTTCTATAGCCTTGGGTGGCATCTGGTCTAGGAGAAGCGAACTCTGAATTCAAAACCAGCCTGGACAGGGTTGGGCTCTGTCAGGCATTTAATATATATATATATATATATACACACATTTTTCAGACTTAACCATTGTGTTCTGTTTTCTTAAGTTGCCCATTGATGTGATTGAACCTATACAGTGAGGCGATTCTGGGAGAAATAAAATGTACAGATGGCACAATGTTGATAGACACAGGAAGAAAACTATAAGAAGTTCTACAGAAGGTAGTGAAGAAAAGTGAGAAGAAATGAGTAAACATAAGTTGCAAGAAGACAATGCATGTTCATCAGCAAAATTAACAGCCCAACATGCAAATTACAAAGAGGAGATACAAAATCAAGCAAGTATAAAAATTGAAATATCTGGGATGTGTTTTAACAGAGGACGGAAAGTGTGACACCAAAATGTGAAGGCACATTGGGATAGTGAAAGATGCCTTCCAAAAGCTAAGCAAAGTATTAAGAAACAGAAAAATTTCATTAGAAACAAGGAAAAGAGTACTGAACTGTTACGTAATATCAATCCTCCTATATGGCAGTGAATGCTGGACAATCTTGCAGATAAAGAAGTCTTGAAGCAGTAGAAATGTGGTTCTACAAAAGAATGCTGAGAATACCATGGACTGAACATGTGAGAGACGAAGACAAAATTTTATAGAAAATGTAAATGAATAGGACACTTATGATTAACATCAGGAAGAGACAGTTGAAATTTCTAAGGTACATAATGAGGAAAGAAGACTTGGAAAATCTGATACTCGCAGGACAGATTGAGAGCAAGAGGATTTTATTTTACATCCATTACAACAGTCATATTTTATAGCTTCTTCAGCTTTCTAGCCATATTCTGGTATTTTTCTATCTTTTCAGTTTCTTTGGAGTTCACTCTTGTATCTTAGGCAACAGTAAATTCAATAATTGGTCACCTACTATTTCTCTTACCCATAACAATAAGGTTGGGTCTTTGTGCTTCAATGATAATGTCTCGAGTGAGAAATCCCATATCTTGTGACTTCATTTTTTTACCACTGCCTCTGTCTGATGTTCATACCATTTTGCTTATTATACTTTAGCCAAACTTACAGAATACTTTCCAATAGATTCTCTTTCCAATCTAATCATGTCATATTCCTTCTGTGCCAATCCGGGACATTCAGTGAGTATGTAGTTAACTGTCTCATCAGCTTGTCCACACATCCTGCATTGTCTATCCCAGCCTTGATTGCATTCATCCTGATAGTTTGCATCAGTTCTGCATATATGAGTAACTTTGTTTCTCTTTTTAGAAAAGCACCATTTTTTATTATTATTGTTGTTGTGGTTAATAATAGATTAAAGGATATAAAAATTTATATAAACATTTGATTTTTTTTTTCTTTTTTTGACCACATGATATTTTTATGTTAACTTTGAAGAAATTGAAAAAAATTACTTTTGTCATGTTGTATCGTAAATATGGTTAACTGAAGCTGATTATTTCTGGCAGGAGGAGTTATCTTTATTTACATTCAGACTAATGTCCACATCTTTGTTATTACCACCTGATCATTATTATCAGTTATCATTATTAATGACAATCGGATTAATGTCTATATGTTTGTTATTACTACCTGATTGCGTTCTCTCTGAATTTCTGGGATGTGGAGTTATCTTTACTTACATTATTTACATTCAGACTAATGTACTCATCTTTGTTATTATCAAAATGTTTTGGCTATTGAGCTCTAAATATCTATCAATCCTGGTAACCTTGAAGGAATTTCAAACTGAACCCTTTCTTTTATCTACAAGAGTATATTGTTCTTGTTTCACTGTCTGTCTCAGGATATCTCATTTTGTTCTTATTTAGATACTGTTCAGTTATTGCTACTTTCACTGAGTCTAAATTTGTTCAACTCAACTCTGAATGTCTCCAAATTCATTGACACTTTAATCCATGAGGCTATCTGGACTAATGTCCACATCTTTGTTATTACCACCTGATCATTTTTTGTCTGAATTTCTGGGAGTGTCAATGATGTAAATGATAAATCTGATTATATTGTTAGGAATAAACTTTGTCTTGTGTGAAATTGAAATCCATTTTTGATGATTGAATTACAGGAGAAACTAAATCCAATTGCCAACATAGCCTACATTGACCTGAAAGAAGTCGATGTGCAAGCCTATATTCGATGCAGAGACGAGGAAAGTGCTCGGACAATTTGTGATTCAAGCTTTCCACATTACAAGTTTACTCTTTTACAAGGTAAGTTCAACTAATTCTAACCTTCATGGCTAAAAACCTACCATGAACATTGTAGCGAATTACCTACATTCTCTTCATATTCCATTAGTGGGATGTAAGTTTCACTTCAGCAGCTTCTTTCCACAAATCACTGCTTTGTGGAAACTACTCCCAAGATGATGCTTTCCCAATCACTACAATCTTAACCCCTGTTTAAGTTTAAGGTTAATCATTATCATCATCACATATCCCCATAAACTGTGTCCTGCTCTAAATTTGGTAAAAATGATCCTCATCTCCCGTACTAAATTTGGTAAAAAAATGATCCTCATCTCCCGTACTAAATTTGGTAAAAAAATGATCCTCATCTCCCGTACTAAATTTGGTAAAAAAATGATCCTCATCTCCCGTACTAAATTTGGTAGAGCCGATCCTCATCTCCCGTACTAAATTTGGTAGAGCCGATCCTCATCTCCCGTACTAAATTTGGTAGAGCCGATCCTCATCTCCCGTACTAAATTTGGTAGAGCCGATCCTCATCTCCCGTACTAAATTATGTAGAACTGAATCTTATCTCAAGAATTTATTTAGTTTTGCCTCATCACAAAATCACATCTAGGTTCCTATTACTTTACCTGTTCAAAGTGACGAACACAGCCCTCGTCCTGGATTGGGAAATGTTGAAGGAAACCAGCTGGATCTGTCACAATGTCAGATTTTCTCATGATTTTGATCAGGTATGAGAAGATGTGGCACCAACTGAGCAGAAACCTTTGTCATGCCAAATTCATTGTGCAGAATGTTCTCAATTCTAACACAAGATATGCTAATAGCATTGGTTATTTGATTTATAATCAATTGCTTGTCATCCCTCACCATGGGGTAGACATGATCAATGTTTTCCTTGGTGGTAGAAGTTTTAGAATGTCCAGACATGAGGTGATCTTCAAAACTCTCCCCTTCCCCTCCTAAATTCAGCTGCCCACTTTTGCACTGTTGATAAAGCTGAAGTGTCTTCTTCTAATGTTAATGACTTTTTTGACCAACAGAATGAACAGTTAGATGTCAGTTTATCTGAAAAAAAAAACAATGCAGTTGAAATTAATGCATGCAAGATTTCACAAGCATCTTGCATCACTTTTTCATAGTCAGCCTATGAACTTTTTAGCTTGCCCTCATACAAAGCTTATTTAAACATTGATGACCTTTGAGTTTTATTTCTTTGAGGTTTTGTTACAGTTTGAAGAATTTTTTTTTTTTTTAACATCTCCTCACCCCGATTATTGTCCCGGCCCCCACTGTTTATTAAATTTTCTGATATTAAAGAAATACCTAACACATATGATATTATTGGCAATGGTGTCTTCATCTAGCTAATGTTTTACCATTATGTGGAGGTGTATATGTGAGAGGTATTTCTGCTGTATCCTCTCTGTGTGTGTATGTGTATTTCTTGTACTTTCAAATGTCAATGCTCATTTTCAAGAACAGGCATTATGTCATGGTTTTAAAATTTAAGAAAACTTTTTACACATTTTGTTTCATCATTTTTATCATCAGATTTGGTATTCAGAATGTTACAAATTTAAATTTAATTGTTTTGATGTGATTTGCAGGCTGCTTAAAACATGTAAAGCTGCTTGTAAGATTATGTAAGCTGTTTGTGTTTGTTGATAAAGCTGTTGAGAATATTGTAGATATGTGATGAAGGCCCCTTTTTTTTTTACAATGTGGTATCATTTAAACAGAACTAAATTGATTTATTAAGAAAAGGATTCCTGTCTACAACATAAGTTACAATCAGAGCTGATAGTCTAAATATTTATTTTTATGTTTAAATAAAATTTTGATGTTGAATTGCTAATCTTTTTCTTTTTTTTTTTAATTTGACAAATTGAGACAATGTTGAATTGAAATTGATTTTCATTCAGGGGAAGAAGAAAAAATGTACTGGGAGAAATTAAGAGCTGACAGAGAAGCCAAAATAAACAGCAAACATCGTTTAAAGAAAAGAGGTACCTCAAAGGTAACGTCATTCAATTGAATCTGATTACATTTAGGAAATTGGAAGTTGTTGCAGGGTTTAAATATTCAGAGTCCTTTCCTGTTGTAAAGTATCCCTCTCATATTGGAGAAAATTCACTAATGTGACGGTTACATTAGACTTTCTCAAGAAAAAGGACATTAACACTAAAAAGAGAAATGCATAGGATTTTCTTTTACATTTGAAATCTCACATTTTTTGTAGTACTTAACAAAGTTTATAGTGGTGGCAACAAGGAAATTTTTTAAAACAATGAATGGATTTTTAATGTAACATCATTTTAATTGTGCTTGTCCCTACTGATTTCTACTGACTGACCCCAGTGATTACCCCTAATTGTGTATCCATTCTTGTGAACACCAAAACTGGGAAAAGTTTGTTTTTAGCTTTTCCTCAATCCTCCCCATTTGTAATCTTCTCATTCTCACCTTGTACTTACCCCCCCCCCCAACCTTCTAGAGGCATTGTCACATTACTTGGGGTGAAATGATTAAAAAAAAAATTGCCATTGTCATTTATAACTATGATGGTGGGTCGTCATTTTTAACTATGATGGTGGGTTGCTAACAAGGGCTTGTAATTCAAATCAACGGCAGATGATTTTGGAGTATGGAATGTTTTTTTTTTTTTTTTTTTTAAACCTTCTTATCAACATTTTATTTCTGTGTGATACTAATATTGACTGACAGATGAATAAATATTGAAATTTGAGATGCAGTAGGAAGGAAACGTCCATCACTGCTTATGTTTGCAACATCATGGTGGTTAGGGGTTCTGTACAGAACCTAATTTTAATAGATTTTCATTTGAAAATGTAAGCTTTCCCCTTATGTCTAGAAGTAATGAATAACTGCACATCTTTTAAAAAGTTTCAAAGGATTTTAAGTGAAAATTGTTTATTGCAAGAGTTAACAAATTATCAGGAAGACATTGTTTTCATTGAATCAATTCTTGGTAGTTCTCTGAAAGAATGGTCCCAAGTGGAATATGGTGATGATGGTGTTGGTGTCACAAATAAATTTGCTTTCATGTTTTTATCAAAACTGCAAGCATGGTCCTGAGTGTTTTCATCACATAGGGACAGAAATCTAATCATATTATTTTGTCTGCTAAAAACCATGCTTAAAATGTTGGAAAAATATTCATTCCTTCTTTCTTAATTGTAACAAAATTTATTTTCCCACAAGGATGGTTCGGAAATAAAATAACTGAATATAGTTACTTAATTTTAAATTTCAATATTTAAATGATTTAATTTCAAATAATCTTCAATTTATTTTAGTTCATTTTAAATTGATTTATTTTATTTCTATCTATCCGTAATGAAAATAGTTTAAACCCAGTTTGAAATTTCACCCCAAGTAATGTGACAATGCCTCTAGAAGGTTGTGGGGGGGAGTACAAGGAGAGAATGAGAATGAGAAGGTTACAAATGGGGAGGATTGAGGAAAGGTTAAAAACAAACTTTTCCCAGTGTTGGTGTTCACAAGAATGGATACACAATTAGGGGTAATCACTGGGGTCAGTCAGTGGAAAGATGAGCCAGGGTCTCAATGACAAAAATATAAAAGCGCATTTCTTACGATATTCCACTTGGGACTCTTCATTCATAGAAGTACCCACATTTTTAAATTATTTTTTTTTTTCTCTGTTGTTGTTTGTTAAGCTTTGGTCTTTCCACTTCTAACACTGAAGTTTTTATGTTGGAGATTTTTAAGGTCAACTTTCCAGAACTTTCAGAGAAACTGTTTGATGAGAAAATTAATCTCGACTGATTAATTTGATAAGATTTTTTCCATCTGGTATCAAATTGCCTTTTTTTTTTCTCTTGTATTGTTTAAAAATTGTAAAATTAGAGATGGTTGGTTTTGTTAAACAATGAAAAAAAATATTTCCATTTATAAGTTGCATCATTGAATAATGTTTCTTTCTTTTTCAGTTGATGGACAAAATAGAGAAACTCAACACAAAAAACAAAAAGTTTATTTTGATGAGTAATTCCTCAGCTAAGAAGTGTTTTTTTTAAATAAAATTTTAATTTCTCACATTCAGGGTTTGGTAATGATTCTTTCCCCCCCAGGGTTTAGTAATAATTTATGATCTCCCCACCACCAGGTTTGGTAATAATTTTATTTTCCTGCCAGCATTCAGTTATGACTTTTTACCCCCAGATTTGATAACAATTCCCCCAACCCCAGTGTTTGGTAATTAATTTTTAATTTATATTTTTTACCATGGTTTGGTAATAATTTTTTTTTCCCCATGGTTTGGTAATGATTTTTTTTTTCCCCATGGTTTGGTAATGAGCATCCCAGCACTCAGTAATTGGTAATGACTTTTTCCCTCAATGTTTGATAATGATTTACCCTCCTCCCCCAACCTGGTTTTGTAATAATTTTCCCCCAGGAAATGATTTACCTTACCACCCACCACCACCAGTGTTTGGTAATGATTTTTTTTTTTTTCTCCCAGTATTTGGTCATTTTTTTCCCCCCTCCCAGGGTTTGATAACACCTACCAAATTTGCTAATGATTCAACACAGGTTGGTAATGATAATTTTTTTTTTTTTCTCAGTACCCCTGGTTTTGGTAATTTTTTTTCTTATTTCCCCACCCCAAGGTTAGATAATGATTTTTTTTTTTTTTTTTTTTTTTCTCTCAAAGGTTGGCTAATGATTTATTTTTTTATTTTTTTTGCCAAGTTTTGGTAATATTTTTTATGGATCGATAATAATATCAATATTTAAAATTTCCTAAAATATTTTTCTTCTTTTGATAATATATTGCAAATTTTCCTGGTTTTTACTGTCAAATTTAGTTTACCAGTTAAGAGATGAAAGATGAAAATTTCCAAATGTTGGAAATCTTTGAACAATAAGATTCTACTGCCTTGGTCTCTTCTCTTTCTAACAGCTAAATTGTTAGAACAGGCCTATAATCTTGATGGATCAACAAAACAATTATTATATAGTTTATTTATTTTAGTAGATTTTGTTTTCCAAATTGAGATAAATTATCTGATTTGTGCCACTGAGAACATTCACATCTCATTGACAGTCAAAATTAGCCAAGATTTTAACAATGGTTGCAAAAAATGCAGTTTTCAATCAACAAGGAATTCTGCCTTTTTTTTTCTCTTCTTTTTGTCATTGTAGGGAATTTGAATGGAGTTATGTTCTGGTTATTGACTAAGAATTCATTTCTGGATTTTCTTCAAACAATTGAACCCTTTTTTTTTCCCTATGTTTGCTTTGAGAACAAAAGGACTCAGGATAGAAAGAGATACGTTATGTGCCCAAGAATTCACTTGATGAAAACAAAAAAGGGGTAAATCAAAACATTAATAACAGCAAGTATGTGTAGAACATTGTCTAAACAATATTTGCTATGTTATTGATTTCTCAAAGCTTTAACACAGGTTTTTGCACAGGTTTTCAATCTACTGCAGTAAATAAAAAACACAAGATAAACTTTTGGAAATATTTGAACTTGTGTTCCTTGAAATCCAGGTTCAATGCATCAGCTACTTTAATTGCTAATGATACAGAATATGTAGATTGGCCCAGAATGTTAAACTACTGGTCGCATGACCATGTGGGTATAAATTCTAAATTGCCATTAAATTTACATACATATATATATATATATATATATATATATATATATATATATATATATATACACACACACACACACATATATATATATATATATATATATATACACACATATATATATATATATATATATATATATATAACCAAAAAAGGTGCAAAACACAGACATCTGTAAGAATTTGAAGGATCAACAAGTTTCCTGTACGTAGATACCTTAGTGAGACAAGCCAGGTGTCGTGATGAAATTCTAACCAAGAAGTTGACATATGTTCACCTAATCATATACCTCTCAATTCCTCTTAGAAATGATTCTACAAATACTGTTCCTCATATAATTCAGTGAAAAAATTCGAAATTGTCCCTTCGATGATGTAGTGTTGGGATCTGAAGAATTGAAGCCAAAGACATGAAGCACAATAGAATCTTTATGGTGCCATGACATACATATTTCTGCATTAACATGTTTTATGAACACATGACCATTTCAACTGATGATCTATATAGGTAAGTGCTAATCTATTTTTGTCACGCTGTTTCTTACTTGCCAACTTAGATAATGGCACATTGTGCCACTTTTGTTCAGAGCCTTTCATCAGAAATTAAAAATATTCACAACTCGTTGAGGATGTGCAAATACCTCAATGAGATACACACACTAGAAAAAAAAAGAATAGTGTGTTTAAAACAGAGGCACAAAAAGCAAGACTAAGTTACAAGAATATGATGGCTTTGCAAAAGGCCAATTCTAATCAATATAAACCAATCTTTTTATTCCATGAGCTTTTATCCACACCATATCTGTATTTGAATTTTTCATTAGTTGAAGCAATGCTGACCAAAACTCAAAAAAAAACTTTGTTTATTTCCAATATTGTGCTGTCTACACATTGCCATAGATTGGTGGCCTGAGTAAAAGTTGTAATAAAAAGCTATTAAATGGGTGGCATTTAAACAAGCTCCTGTGGAGGGCGTTTGATTGGGCCTTCATCACAATAGGTAAGAAGGAGTAGATGCAATAAGCAACACTAAACTACAGAAGAACTCAAAATTGATCACTGCATTTAAGTATTGCATTAAAATTTAACCTTATCTTTTAAAAGTTCAACAATAATTCTTCTGCTGCCACTTGAAGACATTTTGATTTACGTAGGTCCTTACTTTCCATACAAACAATTATTTTTATTTCACGGGTGACTTTTGCAATTAATTCCAATTATTTCCAAGTTATAAAAAATGTTATCATACAAAACAACAAAATTGCTGAAAACAATCGCACTAATGAAAAGTTGGGAATCCCAAATTTCAGGATTGTGGGTCTGCAACCAGCCCGGAATGTTTTTAATTTGCTTGTGGAGGCAGTCTGATCTCAAAATAGTATGATATGTTGGGTTACGGTCTCTAGAAGTAAAGTTGAAAACACAGACAATTTTATTTTGAAACACTCTAATTTGAGAACATTAATTTTTTTTCATTTGAACATGAGCTATTGAAAGTTAGAGAGTTGTGTCCCTTTAATTGTTTTTATCAGTAGAAGCCAACATGGTGGAATCCAAAAACAATCACAGTAATGAAAGCTTGGGAATCAAAAATTTTCCAGATTGCGGGTCCAGATCTGGCCCAGAATTTTTTAATTTACTCATGGAGTTGGTCTGATTCCAAAATGGTATGATATGTTGGGCTATGGCCTCTAGGAATAAAGTTGAATGAGCGTGGCACACTGATATTTGCATTTATTATATAGATGGTTGACATAGCTTCATCTAATGAAAATGAGTAAGCTTTGTTCAGTCTTGAACAATGATACAGTAGTGAGGATTGAACTTATGTTAACGAATTGGTTATATTAGGATCGGGCTGTGTATCATAAAACATTGGTCTTCATCAGGCCTTCTGAAGCCTGTTACTTGATTGATTTGTTGTTGTTTTTTACAGTTTATCAGCCCTTTGCAGGTTATTTAAAGGTGAAACATTTTTGGGGGAATGCAAAAATAATTCCTTTTTACAAGTAAATATTAAATTAAAAATATTTTGGAAATAATGATTTTTGACAATATTTAACCTACTTACAAAAAAACTGTCTCAAAAGTGTGGTTTTTCTCTTGAAAACATTATTACTGTATATTTAACTAACAATGTTGTTTTAAAAAGCTACATTTAGAATTTTGTTTGGCTATTAGCCATTGTTTTTGCCAACCATTCCAAACAACATAATTTGCCAGCTTCAACCAATAGGTTTGATTAAGGTGTTTCGTGTCCATTCTTCATCGGTCATCACTTGGCTGAAATAGATAATACATAGTTCACGCAAATTGTTAGGAAATTTCGCTACACTTTAAAAGTTTTTTTTTAAAAAAAATGATTAGGAAGAGAGGTAGGCACATTAGATCTTAGATTCCAAAAAATAAGAAAATTAAAACCATAAGATATAAATTGATATAAAATGGTAAATAATAAATATTGTATTAGTTTCATATTTTTGGTTGGTTCACATTTTTATAATTTTTGTAAATAAAAAGAATTGTTTTCATATTTATTTCTTTATAAAATGGTAAATAATAAATATTGCATTGTACTTAGTTCCCGTATTTTTATAATCTTGTAAATAAAAAAACTTAACTGAATAGTATGTAACATTTCTTATTAAAATTCTAAACATAATATTTTAAAACTAACATTGCCGAGGAAGCATATAGTAATACGTTTTTTTTGACACACTGTTTTTTTTTGGGGTGGGGGTATGATGGTTAAACTTTGCTAATTTTTTCCAGGTAAAAGTCCCACTATAGCAAGATCAATTCATACATAATTGGCCCTGTTCTGGCATCTCATCTACAGTCGCTCTCTCACAGACACACCGTCGCCTCTCTCTGTCTTTTTTACAAATACTTTCATGGTAATTGCTCCGAGGAGCTGCATTCGCTGGTTCCCAGACTTCATGAATTCAAGCGTCCTATGAGGCTGGCATCCCGCTCTCACCCTTTCACTGTCAAAACTACTAAATGTAGCCGTCTTTTCTACTCCAATAGCTTCATGTCTCGCACCTCTCACCTGTAGAACACCTTTGCCTATTCCAGTTTCCCTGAGAGCTATAATCTCCAACTATTCAAATGCAATGTCAATCGACATCTCCAGTTGTCTTGATCTATCCACTATGCTTCTCCTCATCCTTTCCTCTATCACTCCTATCTGATCTTGCTCCAAATCTTCTGTAACCCCTTGCGTCCTAGTGGCTTTCCGCCTTGCTTGGGATGAAATGCTTAAAAAAAAAAAATACCTCTCTCAACAATATTTGCATGTAAGTGAATTTAACAAACTTGACTGGAATTCAAAATCTAGCTCTGTAAAATGAAGAATAATAACTAGTTAACTTTTTTTTTTTTTTTTTTTAAACCATTTAATAATTTTGAAT